GAAACGTTTCGCCTACACAGTAGGCTTCTTCAGTCGAGTACAGGAAAGTTGATAGAAGCAGAAGATACTTGAAGACGATGTAGGGACTGACCACCTCAAAACTTTAAGGGTGATGGACTGATTACATCGTCTTCAAGTATCTTCTGCTTCTATCAACTTTCCTGTACTCGACTGAAGAAGCCTACTGTGTAGGCGAAACGTTTCGAAATAAAGATACCTAACTGTTGCATATGTGTCTTACCTAACAGTAACAGCCTGGATGATCAGGCTCTGATCCACCACGAGCCTGGTTTTCAGACCGGGCCGCGGGGCGTTGACCCCCGAAACCCTCTACAGGTATACTCCAGTATCCTGAGGTTTGGAAGTAAATAAAAATATTCTGTAACAACAATTATATAGCAGCCCTGTATGTTGTGATATATTTATATGACTTGTATTCAACTATACCTACATAATGAATCTTAGGAATAACCATGTAGGATAACAGTCGCATAGTACCGTGGCTGCAACAAATCGCAAATAACACAGACTCAGGAGAGGAGACTTTAGACAATGTTTCGGTCTGTCCCGGACCATTATCAAGTCATTTGATAATGGTCTACGATGGATTGAAACCTCGTGTAATATGTCCTATCCAAAGTGTGAGTTATTCGTTAATATATATCTAGTTATCCCGTGCCTCAGGTGTGATCATGTATTGAGCGAGTGTGAGGCTCCCTGGTTAATTTGGTAGCCTTAATCATTATCGGCAACACAGTGGTCATTAAAACTGCAAATCACCATACACTAGTGTGAAAGAATAATTAAAGCCCTAGAATAGGGACTAAAATGATCTCTGAAGGTAAATGCACTGCAGTAGTGTATATTTCAGCCTCACAGAGAGGCCGTCTTCAGTTGCGAATGTGAGACAGAGATGTTTACTTTTCTCGTTATTGTGAGTCCAAATTTTAGTCTCCTGGGGTTTGGGAAGAGAGACGACGAACCATCAAATCCAGCAAGGTTTGAGAGGCAAGACTTGCTGACAAATACAGTAAAAAAAAATCAATAGAGCTTTATCAGCTCTGTTTAGTCTAACGAAAGGTTTGCTCTGCAGAGTCTGTCAAAATCAGCCTGAGTAAAGGATAGTGAGGGTGGGAATGGTGGAGTGGGGAGAATTGTCAGCAGGGAGACATCATAGTGTAGGTTATGCGAGGCCCCGAGCAGCGACTTGCACCCATACCTGCCCGTGGATGTAAAGAACTGCCTACCTACAGCGTGTATAACAGTGTGGTGGAGTCGTACAGTCTAAATTAACAGAAAGGCACAATAAGCAAGACGGGAAGACCATCGCCAGTTAGGTCGTTAACAAGACTCTCCAAATACATTTGAGTATGGATCGCCTGCTTTTTATGTATACTTCAACTTCACGACATACATACCTCTATATGTATGGTAAAGCTAAGTAAGCGTCAGGCCACTAATGACGTAGGCGGTAGTCTTGCCTTCTTTACAATGGATGTCATTAAAATAGTGTAAATAGGTGTAACAGTATGCGTAGTGGAAGCTCAGGCCTCCCGCTCTGCTGTCCGCACCCATCACCAACATGGCAACAACCACAGCACACCACACACTTCCTTACTTTTAATGCCGGATTAAAAAGTTGCAATGAGGTATTTCACTTTCTATGGCGTAGGGCCAGACAGCAATACGCGGGGTGCCGTCCCGGGCTCCCTACATTAGTCCGTAACTTCGATATTTTTTTTTCTTTGACATGGTAACAACATTAACAAAAAAATAGTGCTGTAGTACCAGTACTTATCCGTAGCGCAACCTGGGTTGCACTAGATTAAGGGGCTATAATATTACAGCTCATGGGGTCAGTCATATTAATGGTATTATTATCAATAAGGTGCATTTACAGAGGTGGCAGTGCATAGATGTTATGTTATTGAAGAACTCTCTACAAAAAGTAATTATTGCTTTCATTTTAGGCTCACCATGCGTGACCACTTAGCCTTTCAAACTAAACCCAGGCTAAGGACAGCGACTCATCGCAAAGTTAGACAAAGTAACGCTTCTTAATTGACCAGTCTACTAAACTTTTGGAATATTGAAGCAATTTAGCAACCTATATGAATAGTCATATTGCTATCTAGGAGAAACTCAATGATAAAAGGATTCAGTGCAGGACAATGGTAAATGGCAGAGTTCTCAAGACTAAATACATGGATTAACAGCCGTGAAACAAATCCTAAGTTCTTTAGCATGAGAACCAACCTACCCGATACCTACAATTTACCTCCAAAGCTTCACTACTCGCCCACACGACGTCTAACCTGGTTGCGAGAACGAGACTGAGGTCAGCCTCTGTCACCATTACGACAGGTTGTAGTTAAACTCATTTTTTAGATACACAAACAAAACAAAACGGGTCTTACTACAACGCTGCCCAAGATGCACACTGGCTGACCCCACCATAATTGAGCAGCATAAATAAGTGATGATCTAGTGGCTTATGAGACTAGGGGAACAATACTAGAGTACCTACAGCTACGCTCCCTATGTATTAGACTTCAAAATCACTCGTCTTTATGGAGCTGACTGATCATCAGTAGTTTGCAGAACTTTTAAAAGAGTTCTTCAAAATGTTAGAGAAAACTATCTTATTATAATATATATATATATATTTTTTTCTAAACTGCATAAAGTAAAAATTTATTTCGAAAATTCTACTTATACTCCACAAGTTCATAAATCTGTCACATAATGCCACACCGAATGATAAGTCCTGGAGGCTAAAAAAAAAAGTTTAATATTTACAAATGTGGGAGCTAAAATAAGCTTAGATATTTAGCCAAAATTTTATGATTAAGGACATGAATTTTTTGTTTAAATTACTAGGAGCCAAAAAATGATTCTGTACACATACGATCCAGGAAAATATGAGAAACTGTGATACAAGGGAAGATGTTTAAGTGACCAGAAACAGTGGAGTCTAAAACTGGAGATGCTATAATGGGCGACATATCCCAGCTAATGTAGCTGAGTGTTAACCAGACGACCTTGTAAAGAGTCGTCCTCACCAGGTCCCTCCTTGCACTGTCGTCTACTCACCTCCAGGTCACCGCCTACTTACCACACACACTCCCATTTGGCTACCATGACAGTCTAGTCAGGCTCTTTATTTTATCATAAATGGACACCGACCATAGGCGGCGTTTAACAGATCCACTCTTTAAAAGTAAAGTTCCAACAGGGTTTGGAAGCAGGGTTGTGTGTGTGTTTGTGTTGAGGGTTGCAGCCGGAGACGTCAGACAAGGGCATGAAGGTAGGCGGTAAACTTATTTGTAGGAGAACCTGGCCTGCCCCTCATGAGTGACCCGCTGCAACAGGGCCCTCCCCATCTCTGGACCAGGACCTCAAGCTCAGATACATAATTACACCTTAACACCTTTTTTTTTTGATATATTACTTTCCCCAGTCATTCCTTGAAGTCTTCCCTTATTACAGTACTCTCTAAGACTGCTAACAATAAGGAAATAATATATGTTTCTTGGACAGATGAACATGTTATTCTTTTCCCGTCTTTCCTCATGGACTCTTGATTTAGTACCATTGTTTTCGGCTTAAGCAGGAGAGGTGGGGGAATGAAGCAGCACCCTGGGGAGTTTCACACAGCCAACCTCATATACCCACCATGATGTTTTTTTTTATTGCACTCGGTGAGAGAGTTTCCCAGACAGCAGATTTCTTAATTAAATTTCAGGTTTTATTCTCATCACAGGTGATATGGCTCTTTGATCAGAAAATTTGCATCCCGTGTAAAAAACGCGAGCTCTCTGATATACTTTTTCTCAAACACATAAGTGTCGGTTATGTGGAAAATGATTCCCAGTTCAGAAATTATTCTGAGAAATTTCAATAATTTCCGCTGATAAGTTTTAGATTATCAATGCATTGATTGTGAAAATTCAAATCACTATTTAACTTTATACAGGGCAGTATAATAATTTCTCACGGCAGCAAAATCACTTTTTTTTTTTTTTTTACAATGAGCACTCCAATCATTAGGAAATTTTCTCGAGGTGGGACGAGAGGACGCATAATGGCAGAGGTCAGAAAGTTGGGGGGCCCAGGCAGTCTCAGGGTTGTGAAAACAGTGTTTTCACGTTCCACGGCTGCTCCTCTGCTTGCCCGTGTGTGTGTGTGTGTGTGTGTGTGTGTGTGTGTGTGTGTGTGTGTGTGTGTGTGTGTTTGTGTGTGTGGGGTGATGATATACTAAGATATTTCCGCGTATGTATACATATTTGCTCGCTTAAACGTCTGAACGAGTTCATGTACGTGAACCGAAGCATGTGTAGACCTTCATGAGCAAGAACAGTGTAGGTGTTTGTCAACAACCTCGGCTAAAAAAAATAATATACCACCATTGCTTGAAGCCCCGACTGCAACTTAGTGTCAATCTTTTACCCGATGGAGGATTTAATGGAAGAATGCTGAGATGGAAGCACCAAACACATGGCTGCAGCTGCCATTACTGCAACAAAATACAAGATAAGCTGTACGATGGTTTTTTTTGATTTAAACCTATATTTAAATTCGTGGGGTAGTAGTACTTTCATTGGGCAGACTGTGATGATAGCTACAGTATTAGATATGGCTGGGGTTAATAATTGTTGTGGGTGTTGTCGTTATTGTGGTGGGTTGATCAGTGTCAGGCTGATTGTTAAATCGGCTTTACGGGGTGTGAAGTCAGCAAAAAAAAAGTATGGACTGAACTGTGTGTGGTGAGGAGTGGCTTGTACTGCAGAATCGTGTTGTTAGTTATCAGTTCGCACGATAGCATCAGGCGTGTGGAGGAGGAGCAGCCTAGAGGTGGTGAGGGCTTGGTGGGCCGGGCAGTGTTGGGCTGGGCGACAGGGCTGACGCTGGGGCTGAAGGAGGGCCGACTGAGGGGTGACGAGGCTGACAGAGCTGATGTTGTGTTATTGGAACAACACGGCAGGGGCAGGAGGGGCGGCTGGTCTCTCCACTGACCGGAACACTATCTGCGGGGGAAACAACATCTTAAATATATAATTCACGAGAGGAGGAGGTTCCACAGAGTCATGATAACAAAAGTTGTGTATGGGGCACTGAGGAGACGATCTGGTGATCTCCCAGACATAAGTCGCCGTCGTTACAACACCTGGGTGGGAAGGAAAAAAAATAGCCCAGTGCAGTATTACTGGGAGTTTCCTTTATTGAAATCGCATCGCCCACGCAGTGGGTTCTATCAAACCATAAAAGTGACTCGATAAAGCTCACTGTGTGGGCCAAACGTCATCAACAAAGGATCGATTATACTGCGTTTGTTTCTCTTTCCATCGTGTCGGTATTTGACATTTTTTCTCTCTACCAGCTTGGGGGGAGACTACTGATACTTGTTTTCCTTCCTGGTATGAGGGTATCCGGCGCTACGTGGCGAACCATTTTCAAATCCTTGATACCCCTTCCCACACACAAAAAAAAATATAAAAACAACATACTCAATATACAAAAGTAATACCCCAAGATAGTAGTAATGATTTACAGTATTTGAGATGCTACAGGGTGTTTAAAATTTATATGGACCCAATTTCAAAGCAATACTGTTTTGAAATTGGGTCATTGGGTTTGAAACACCTATCAATTGATCCTTCAAGGGGAAATAACTTGATATTGGTAAAGGCTTCTTTAATCAGGGAACTGAAGCTCTTTTGTCGGTTTTAAAACCTGATTACTCCCCACATTCAGGTGATCATCACCTGTATGATTATAGCACTTTCCCTGAATTAATAATTGTTTTTAATTTGAATAATGAATCAATATGCTTTCGAAGTATACCAGATATGCATAGAATCAAATTCCCCCTCTCCCCATTTTTTTTTATAAGACTGGCGGTGTCCCTGTGGATACTGTGGTAAAATACTTTGGGAAGACAAGTAGGAGTTTATCGGTGAGGATTAACGAACACACACATGAAATTTTAGACACATGTGCAACATCTGGATATCTTTATTGTAGAGTTTCGCCATCCAGTGGCTTTATCAACACAGATTTTTAGGACATAATTAGAAGGACAGTAGAACTATATACATGTATTGATAAAGCCCCTGGATGGCGAAACGTTACAATAACACATAACAAGATGTTGCACGTGTCTAAACTTTTTCATTTGTCGGTATTTTATACCTTTCTTGCACAGAAAACACACATGTTGTATCGTGGAAAGACTCGAGTTACGCCAAAGGACGTTTGATAAATGGAGCAAAGTCCAGCTTATCTTGCTGAACCAGAACTAAATAAATGGCAACATTTAGCGGCATCCTTGATAGCGGCGATGGATTGGTGGTTCAAAGGACAGGAAGTTAAAACATCACAACCCCGCTGACCCCCGTGATTCAGGATCACGCATTGTGACGCCCACCTTGAGACAGCCATATATATATATATATAATATTATATATTATATATTATATATTTAATATATATTATATTATATATTATTATTTATATATATATTATATATTTATATTATTTTATTAATTTTATTATCACACTGGCCCATTCCACCAAGGGCAGGGTGGCCGAAAAAGAAAAAATTTCACCATCATTCACTCCATCATGTCTTGCCAGAAGGGTGCTTTGCACTACAGTTTTTAAACTGCAACATTAACACCCCTCCTTCAGAGTGCAGGCACTGGGACTTCCCACTCCAGGACTCAAGTCCGGCCTACCGGTTTCCCTGAACCCCTTCATAAATGTTACTTTGCTCAACTCCAACAGCACGTCAAGTATTAAAAACCATTTGTCTCCATTCACTCCTATCAAACACGCTCACGCATGCCTGCTGGAAGTCCAAGCCCCTCGCACACAAAACCTCCTATATATATATATATATAATATAAAATATATATATAATATATATATATATATATATATATATATATATATATATATATATATAAAAATTTTCTGTTTACTTGTGTTTTCTTACCCCCAGGTTGATGTTAATGCAAGGAGAGGAGGAGAAAAGACACATTTTACAAAGAAATGCTTTATGTACTTTGATGTTCTGTCTGTGGAACACATATCTTCTGTCTGGCGAAACATCGTAATGAAGTTTCTTCCTGCAGCTGTGTCTTTTTCATCTCCTTTTGTCGGCTGTACGCCATATGTCTACATTATTATCATTATCATTATTATTATTATTATTATTATTATTATTATTTATTATTATTATTAACATTATTTTTGTATTAATAGGTACTTTTTTAAATGTAAGTACACAGCTCCGAAAAGTGCCACCATAGACCATGAAATCTGGAAATATATAAGGAAAATTAAGTATTGATTATTCATAACTTATAAAACAGAAGAGCATCACATAGAGGGCGCTGGCAGGAGCTGAAAACCACGAGGAACAACATTAAGTACGAAATACATGCCTTGCAAAACACTTAAGTTAAGCACAACTTGCTCTGGATAGTAACTGGATGGGTGATCACTAGTTTTGCACAAAGGTATTGAACATCATTTCTCAGACAGGGTGAGAACATGTAAGAACACGCTAACGTAGAACGCAAGAACAGGAAAGAATGGACACTGCAGTAGGTCCAATGATCCATGCTAGGCAGGTCTAACTCAAACCTACTCATATGCCCATCCCTCCTATGTTTAAAACTACCAGAGTTCTCGCATGTTTAAACAAGAGATGCATGATTCCTTTGATTCATGTGGAAGCGTTAAACCCATAGGTGTCATATGTCGCCCTGAGAATGCGGGAGTTGGGAGAAATAAAGCCTGGTAAGAGGAAGGGGAAGGCAGCTCCAAATTCCTTAGGTCAAGAGCAGATTACTAGCCTCAAGGGACTCCAGTTGGTGCCCGCAAGTTGAGTCCCAGCATCAAGGGACTCCAGTTGGTACCCGCAGGTTGAGTCTAGCATCAAGGGACTCCAGTTGGTACCCGCAAGTTGAGTCTAGCATCAAGGGACTCCAGCTGGTACCCGCAGGTTGAGTCTAGCATCAAGGAACTCCAGTTGGTACCCGCAGGTTAAGTCTAGCATCAAGAGACTCCAGTTGGTACCCGCAAGTTGAGTCTAGCATCAAGGGACTCCAGTTGGTACCCGCAAGTTGAGTCTAGCATCAAGGGACTCCAGTTGGTACCCGCAAATTGAGTCTAGCATCAAGGGACTCCAGTTGGTACCCGCAGGTTGAGTCTAGCATTAAGAGACTCAACTTGGTACCCGCAGGTTGAGTCTAGCATCAAGGGACTCCAGTTGGTACCCACAGGTTGAGTCTAGCATCAAGGACTCCAGTTGGTACCCGCAGGTTGAGTCTAGCACCAAGGGACTCCAGTTGGTACCCGCAGGTTGAGTCTAGCATCAAGGGACTCCAATTGGTACCCGCAGGTTGAGTCTAGCATCAAAATACTCCAGTTGGTACCCGCAAGTTGAGTCTAGCATCAAAAGACTCCAGTTGGTACCCGCAAGTTGAGTCTAGCATCAAGGGACTCCAATTGGTACCCGCAGGTTGAGTCTAGCATCAAAAGACTCCAGTTGGTACCCGCAAGTTGAGTCTAGCATCAAGGGACTCCAGTTGGTATCCGCAAGTTGAGTCTAGCATCAAGGGACTCCAGTTGGTACCCGCAAGTTGAGTCTAGCATCAAGGGACTCCAGTTGGTACACGTAGGTTGAGTCTAGCATCAAGGGACTCCAGTTGGTACCCGCAAGTTGAGTCTAATAAGACAATCTTCAGTGTCTTCCGACAGCCTCAGAAGAAAGTGTTTATCGGAGGTCAGCGGCTCTCGTGTACCTGCTGAGAGTTTAATCTTTAAATAGAATACATATATACCATGAGGTATAAAGTCGGGGTATATACATGGAGGAAATTTATTTTTATTATTTTTAAAAGTGCCCAAAAATTTCCTAAACTCGGGGTTACAGATCCATTTCCCAAAGCTTTTGGTGCTTTATTTCCTTTATTTTTTTTGTTAAAATAGTTGTGTATATAAAATCTTTATTTTAAACCTTTGATTAAAAATTTTTTTTTAACCTTAAAAATGGTATGATTAAGTTAAACTAATTGTCCCCCCTTTTCCCCCTTTCTTTGATCAAAAACAAAAGTTTCCCCTTTTTAAAAGGGTTTTTTTATATTTAATGGTTTTTTAAAACGCATTTCCTCCATAAACCCAAAAGGGATTAAATACTATTGTAGGGGGGTCAACGGGGGGGCGTTGCCCCCTGTAACATCCCCCGGGTATCCAAAGATAAAATTTCCACTTTCTAATCGCCGACCAATTAACTGACTGCCCAAATTAACTTTAGTAGCGTGAATCCCAAATTTTCCTGTTATCTTTTTTGCTTTTTTTATCATTTTGGGTGTAAATTTTCCTTTAAAACCCGAAATGGGCGGTAACTTTTCCAAATTAGATCTTGCAAAAGGGATTCTTGAAGCAAATTTTGGAAGCTCTTTTTGGGGTTCCCGGGGAGATTTTAAATTTTTCTGGGCAATCTTGTTCAGATTTTAAATAAATGTGAGGCTTGGGGGAATTATCAAAAAATCCCTATTTTCCCGCAAAAGGGTGGGCGAAATTGGATATCCAAAAATTGATTTTGGAAGGGGGTTTGTGAAGGCATGGGGTTTTTTTAGATCTGAAAAGAATCGAGACGATTTTTTTTTTTAAAGGAATTGGTTTTTTTTGTCAACCAAATGATTCGGGGAAACAAGTTAGCCGGTATTGGGTTTTTTGCAAATCGGAAGTCCCTGTGCCTGCATTAAGACAGAGGGGTGAGAATGAGTTTTTTTTAAAGTGGAAAGACAGCTTGGGTGCAAGGGGAGGGTAAATGCTTTTTCTTTTTTTTTGGCGTTGCAGCCTGCCAGTGGATTTTTTGTCAAGGACGGGGTTTGGCGGGAAAATCTGAAACTCTGAACTGCACAATTTAATTTAAAATTTCCTCAGTACCCGTTAAAAATGAATAAAAAAAAACAAGGGAAATACTATTGCTTTTTTTTTTGTTCGATACAAA